ACTAAATCACATCTGGACATTACTCAAGTCTTCCTGGTATCTCGGGTACTACTAAGGAATGCTATATAGAAAAGCTTGTGATTCTTTTCCATAAAAACTTCTCTGAATAGTTCTTAACGCTCATCTAAATGTCATCTACTTCTATACTTTCCCCATCAGCTACTTTGTAATGCTGGGGTTTTTTAAAACTCATTTCTGTGCAACACTTTTTGAAGGTTAATGTTATAAAGGTTTACCATTTGGATGTTGATATGAAAGGCCATTTCATCCAGAGGGCAAGTTTCCTTGCATTAGTGACTGTAGCGTGAAATACAGTAAGGCTTAGGTCTTCCTGAACGATTTCTGAAATGTAAATCCATCTAAACTTTTTATCCAGTATTGGATGTATGTGGGTAAGTATGACAAGAGTTGTCTTCTGCCAGCCAGCCCAGTCTGGAGCATCCCTGTACCTCACATTTAATGTCTCAGGGTTCTCTTTGGATTAAACCAAAGATCCAATTGGAAAATTTGTGGTGAACAGTGCATTAAGCTGATGCCATACTGTTTTGTGACAAGATGGCTTTCTGTGCGTTTCAAGGCAGCCGTTATGTACCTTGCTTGATTTTGAGTAAAGGGTCCTGTCACTGTTAGGAGTTTGTCACAAGATAAAGCATTTACTTAATTTTTTTTTTCTTACATTTGCAAAGTATTATTGCAGGATTTGGCCTCTGGAAAGGCATCCTGCTTGCATAGTCTGCACCAGAACACTGCCGCTTTCTGTCACAGAGCTTTATTTCTCGGTTTTGGTCTCCACAGTAGTTTAATACCTGTCTGTCATAGATGTTCCCTTCGTAAGCATTTTTAATTGCTGTTCAGGTGGTAGATTGGTACTGTTCTCATTAAGTGAACGCTGAACTTCTCAAATTATGTGGGGGGTCACTCTTGCTTAAATTGTCATATTCAGCAGTGTTCAATCATCATAAAACTAATGCTTTTGGTAAATTATTGGATGGCTGGGAGAGGTCTGGCTCACTTAAGTGATGTACAGCAGCATTTTAGCAGAAACATCCATGCATTTTTGTCAGTTCTCAAAATATCCTAGAATTCCTGTAACCCCCAAACTCCCATTGCCCTGGCACAGCTAGCACATAATTGCAAACTGATGATTTGGTGACAATGCAGGATAAAATTTTCTTTTTAAAAATAATATTAATTTATAATTTTATTAGCAGTCCCCCAGAAACTTTTACTAAGGGTTGGAGACTTAATTTTGACAGGATTATCAAATGCTCTGAAGCCAAGCAGCTTTAATTAACT